AGTAGAGGCGCCAGATGTGAGATCGAACAGTGAGAGACCATCCTTGCTATCGCACTGTAGGAAAAGCTGCAGATCATCTAGCCAGACATCGAAGTCGACCGCTCGACCCTCAGCATCAAAGGTAAGAACACTAGGACTAGCCATGACAGGAGCAGCAGTAGGCTAGCAGCAGCAGCAGTGCGACTAAGCGACGCGGCTAGGCAGGGCAGCGCGACTCGGCAGGGCGGCTCGGTAGGGCGGCTCGGCTCGGCAGCGCGACTCGACTCGGCGATGCTCTTACCAGGGGCTAGGCCGGGGCAGGGCCGGGGCCGGGCCGAGGCAGTGCAGGAGCAGGGCCGGGGCAGGGTCGGGGCAAGGCCGGGGCAGGTCCGGGACGGGGCCGCAACGGGGCGAGGGCAGGGTCGGGGCTGGGGCCGGGACAGGGCCGGGACAAGGTCGGGGCCGGGGCAGGTCCGGGACGGGGCCGCAACTGGGCCAGGGCAGGGTCGGGGCCGGGGCCGGGACAGGGCCGGGACAGGGTCGGGGCCGGGACGGGGTCGGGGCAGGGTCGGGGCCGTCGCGGCCCCGTCGCGGAGGACGTGAGCGAGCCCGAGAGATAACTGGGAGGCCGTGAGCGTTAAGATGCTCCACGGCCTCCGTGGCGACTTCTGCTGCGTCTTCTAACAGCCCAGACAGATCTAGTGCCGAGGGTAAAAATTCAGTTACGGAAGGAAGAGTAGCAGTCGCAGTGACTAGCTGAGCAGGGGTAGGAATAGCTGTTCCACCGTTAGTCTCTGCCATGCTGCCCTTTTTGGCTTTCTTACGCAACAACTCGGTAGGATGCCCTGTGCCTTCATGGCTTGCATCCACTCGACGAGCTCCTGGAACTTAGCGGCAGGTTCGTCGGAGTCGTTTTCGATCGCCGTATCGTCCAGCACTGCACCATCTCGCCCGAGTGTAACCAGACCCGTTTGGTCGTCCGGTGCCAGCAATCGTTTCCCGCCACAGGCTGTACCAACCACACCAGACATAACGACGCGTTTGCGACTGACACAGTCACAGACGATAGATGCGACTGTTTATGGTTGGAGAATGACCATTTTTTTTCCACGAGGTTTGCCACGCAGATCCCTCACCTGTTCCAGCTGCCAGATTCAATTGGCGGTGATTCGACGATTCCGTGGTATCAGGCATGACTGCGTCGTGGCGTTGCGTCGCGCGTCAATGTGTTTACGTGGTCCCGTTTTGGCAGCCACGGTATTTTACTGTTTTGCTGTCGTAAATTTAGGTAGCAAAGCATCCCTGCCCGTGTTTCCGCAGTTTTGAATGTTTCACGTTTTTCGTCCATATGGGGATGTTATTTTCGGAAACATTAATTCTTCCACGCATAACTGGAAATTAACTACCCTCAGGAAAATGATGAATGAATGTGTAGTAAAAAAACAAAAAGGGCCACGCGCTGATGGCGCGAACTGGTAAAATAAAAAGAGAATCTGGGCCCATAGTCAACTCACATGCATTCCCTATCGCACGTGAGCAGCTATGTGCTGCGCGTCGCGTCCAGTAGTCAATCTCATCCACCCACCATGGTGGTAACTTTGTTGTCGCGTGCCACCTCAGCATGTCACAAACATATCCATTACAAACAACAATTTTCCTATCACGATCAAAAGTGAAACGAAAGACTACATTACAATACATCACCCGTTTTGTACTTTCATATTTTGATCATGCAGCAAGCCTGACGACTTGTTTAAATTGAAGAATTGTGTTATATGCAAAGCGATACGACATTGTCTACGCAAGCATCGCATAAAGTTTCAACAAGTCAATCACAATAGTTAGAAGTGACAAAACGGAAGAACCATTATTCTCCTATGGGTTACTAGTTTAAAACATGAACTTATTAACTAGCCACACGTCCTCGCATGGCGCAGTCCGGACCAGCTCTACCGCCCGTAGGATACTAGTTACAGCAATCACACTATAGCGTTCAGACGAGTCAGCCCAAGCGAGAGTTGTGCACTTAGTAGCTATGTCTTTCGAGGGGGCTGAGTCATAGTACTTGATGAAAGGATATGGCACCAGCAGTCTCCCAATGCGGACCTCGAACAGTATCAGCAACTTAGCATACCATTCGAGAGGCTCTGCATCGTCACCCTCCCCAACAACTGCGATGTTGGAGAACCATGGCCGACCATAGAACATCGGTGCAGCACGAACGTGATGAGGTAGGCGGCTGAAAGCCGCATCGATAGCTGCTGGCATGGCCAGCCCGTTGTGGATCTGTGGGTGTAGTTATGGTGCAGGGGATGGACGGGATAATGAGTATGTCGGAGAGAGAGGGAAGAGTGATGAAAGAGAGATGAAAGGTCAAAATTTTATGTAGCAACAGTTGGAGGAAAGAGAGAGGAGGGGGATGAGGTGGTAGGTTCAAGGGATCATCTTAAGTGGATGGTGTCGATGCTACTTCCCGAGCATGCAGGCGCATTGTTCAAGGCGCTGCGTAGGAAGGGAAGGTCCACAGATAACACCGTCAAGAACTCGCTATCTCGGTCAGTATCAGGTGTCAATGGCACCACGAAGGGTGCCACTAGCCGGTTGGCAGGGACCAGCAGCCTCCAACTCTTCTGAGTCATCACCCTTTCCCCTGTCCTTTGAGCCTGCAGGCATGATCGTGTACAATAGGAATGAGTGGTTATCTACAAGGTGGGTGGTGTACGACCAAGTCAAACATGAATAAAGTAGGACTCACCTCAACCATGCACGTGTCGTACGCTTTACGCTTGCCGAGAACTGGTGCAATGGAGTCGAGGCGCAGACGCATCACCTCACTATTCATGATCTGTGCAGTAGCCGTGCGCCGGTTCGATGCTCTGTAAGGGTTCTTGATGCACTCAATGTGCAGGTGCTCAAAGATTTGCGTAGAGTAGTGCTCTGGCAATCCAGCACGACGGATCGAGTCGATGTAGTGGCTAATCAGGTGCATCTTTATGAAGCGCCAGTTTGACGTCTGTAGCGGAAAGGCTTATCTGAGGGTGAAAATCAACCTGCCATTCAATGGTGATGGTGTGGTTGATGAAGGGGAAGATATGCTTGAGCAGACAAGCATTGGCTTGAATCCCATAATGGTAGTCTTACATGTGCAACAACATATTGTGTGCACGAGCTGCATAGTACGGTAACACATGGAAATACCTTTCAGCCTTGTGCTTCAAATCGCGTAGTGTCTCCGTCGTATGCTCGCTGGTGCGGGCACAGTACGTGTACCAGTCAGTGTATGTTGCAATCGCGTCCATCTGCGCCTGAGGGACAGTCGACTCAAAGCCACGCACTAGAAAGGGAAGGACTTGCATGACACTCCTATGCTCATACGCCTGATAGCTCACACCTGAGGAGAAATACTCGCCCCCCGGCAGGCGCATGAACGGGTTACGGTTGTGCTCCCGCAAGTAGGCAATTCTCTCGTCGGCCTCTTTTTTAGCGATGGTGAGTTTTGTACGGAAAATATCAATGATGTGCACAAGAATTCCCAAATCTTCCTGGTGCATGATATCAGGCATGACGCTCAAATACGGGTTCAAAATAGGAATAGATGACCAACGCCAACCCCACAGAAAACAGTTCACCGGATGTATTACATGCTGGACACACCTTTCGGAAACATCCGCATTTGCAAAAGCGAGGTAATGCCCTTTTGCAAGTGTGGAGTACGAGGGACGATGCGAGGAAGTAGTTTGTTGGTCTCAGCAACAGGGACTGTGCACAACGAGCACGGAAAGCCTGTGGCCCCCGATTTTGTGCAAGTCACCTTGCACGACTCAGGATAGTCACATGCGTATGCGTACAAACCAGGCCACGCGTTGTACGTGGCACCAGTAGGGTCCTGGACCCTCACTCCGGTGTGTGAGGCCTTCCGCAATGGTTCCATGACCATCGAAAGGATGTGTTTGAAGACAATTAACTTGTCTAGCGAATCGTACTGAGGCGTGAATTCTGGAAGCAAAGCAAGCAGTACATGGCCCCACGGCTTCCAACGGTCATGCTTGTCGATGTTTCCCAGTGTCAGGTACACTGGATGACCCTTGGCCTTGCCTCTTTGGTCCATATGTGTCTCGTCGCTCGACAATATCAGAGCAACCACGACCCCGTCCGGGTCCACTTTGTTGACCTCATTGTGCAAAGTAAACCACCAATCCCCGGATTCGGATGATGAGTATACATGTGTCTCACCGGGGTTGCGCGACGTGGGTTTAAGAACGAGTTTGTCCGCGTTCTTTGGATGTGTCAAAAGGTCAATCATCCCAATGACACCATCACAAAAAAAAATATATAACGAAGGTTTTGACTGTACGCGCACAAGAGCTCGTCTCCAGTTACGGTGTGGATCTGGGATGTGTTCATCGACGTATTTTTCAACGTCTCGCGCATTCCTGAAAACGACAACGTCGTCATTGAACTTTGAACCAAGGTTCAAGATCAGGAGCAACTTATCAACAGCACTTTAGGACAGATTGGAGGTAAGCAGGAAATGAGCGAATGCATCTGCAAAATTGAATGTGTCGCTCTCACCTCCTGACGCCGCCCCACCATCCCCTACGCCATCACCTTCAGCCCTCTCCTCTGAGTGGGTTTCGGGCTCAGGAATGGTGGGGATTGAAGTATGAGGAGGAGGTTGCGGGGTGTCAGGCATGGGTGCAGTTGTTGTGGGTATGTCCAACATAGGTCGTGGCATGGTAGCTTGCGTGGTGCGTGGAAGTTGTATGGAGCGTGATGATTCAGCAGTCGCAGACCGATTTGCGGCGGTGGCTCTGCACGTTTCGCCATTTTGATGGTTTGTGAGCGGACCCCTACCAGAGAACCCGACAGCTCCGCACACTCCGCAATTGTAAGCCATCTGCTATACCCAGAGATGGGTTGAGGGTGGTGGAGAGGGGCGGGAGGAGGGGTGGTGAGAAGGGAGGAGTAATGAGAGAGTGCCGAGGGTGGAAGGATCCCCGAATGAAGGAGAGGGGGGAGAATCAGGCAGGTGAGTGCACACAGCCAAGGGTAGCAGGCAGAGGGAAGGCAAAGGGGTTACGAGGGCGGCAGAGGGAAACGAGGGCGGCACGTGTAAGAGAGGGTGACGGGGGAAGGGGTGGGAGACAGGGGTAACCGTGGGCAAAGGGTGGGTGACGGAGAAACCGACGGGTGTATGAGAGGGTGACGGGGGAAAGGGTGGGTGACGGATGAAAACGTGGGCAAAGGGGGAAGGAGAGGGCGGCGGGGGAAAACGAGGGCGATGGGGGAAGCAATGACAACGGGGGAAAGGGAGGGTGACGGGCTAAGGGGAGTGGGTGTCCGGGGCAAGAGAGAGCGACGGGAGAAGGAGTGGGCGGTGGGGGAAAGCTAGAGCGATGGGAGGAGTGGGCGGCGGGGGAAAGCGAGAGCGACGGGAGAAGGAGTGGGCAGCGGGGGAAAGCGAGAGCGACGGGAGAAGGAATGGGCGGCGGGGGAAAGCTAGAGCGACGGGAGGAGTGGGCGGCGGGGGAAAGCGAGAGCGACGGGAGAAGGAGTGGGCGGCGGGGGAAAGCGAGAGCGATGGGAGAAGGAGTGGGCGGCGGGGGAAAGCGAGAGCGACGGGAGAAGGAGTGGGCGGCGGGGGAAAGAGAGAGCGACGGGAGGAGTGGGCGGCGGGGGAAAGCTAGAGCGACGGGAGAAGGAGTGGGCGGCGGGGGAAAGCGAGAGCGACGGGAGAAGGAAAGGGCGGCGGGGGGAATCTAGAGCGACGGGAGAAGGAGTGGGCGGCGGGGGAAAGCGAGAGCGACGGGAGAAGGAGTGGGCGGCGGGGGAAAGAGAGAGCGACGGGAGAAGGAGTGGGCGGCGGGGGAAATCTAGAGCGACGGGAGGAGTGGGCGGTGGGGGAAAGCGAGAGCGACAGGAGAAGGAAAGGGCGGCGGGGGAAACCGCGAGCGACGGGAGAAGGAGTGGGCGGCGGGGGAAAGCTAGAGCGACGGGAGGAGTGGGCGGCGGGGGAAAGCTAGAGCGACGGGAGACGGAGTGGGCGGCGGGGGAAAGCGAGAGCGACGGGAGAAGGAAAGGGCGGCGGGGGAAATCTAGAGCGACGGGAGAAGGAGTGGGCGGCGGGGGAAAGCGAGAGCGACGGGAGAAGGAGTGGGCGGCGGGGGAAAGCTAGAGCGACGGGAGGAGTGGGCGGCGGGGGAAAGCGAGAGTGACAGGAGAAGGAAAGGGCGGCGGGGGAAACCGCGAGCGACGGGAGAAGGAGTGGGCGGCGGGGGAAAGATAGAGCGACGGGAGGAGTGGGCGGCGGGGGAAAGCTAGAGCGACGGGAGACGGAGTGGGCGGCGGGGGAAAGCGAGAGCGACGGGAGAAGGAAAGGGCGGCGGGGGAAATCTAGAGCGACGGGAGAAGGAGTGGGCAGCAGGGGAAAGCGAGAGCGACGGGAGAAGGAAATGGCGGCGGGGGAAACCGCGAGCGACGGGAGAAGGAGTGGGCGGCGGGGGAAAGCTAGAGCGACGGGAGACGGAGTGGGCGACGGGGGGAAATCCAGGGCGACGGGCTAAGGGGAGTGGGTGTCGGGGGCAAGAGACAGCAACGGGAGAAGGAGTGGGCGGCGGGGGAAAGCTAGAGCGACGGGAGGAGTGGGCGGCGGGGGAAAGCGAGAGCGACGGGAGACGGAGTGGGCGACGGGGGGAAATCCAGGGCGACGGGCTAAGGGGAGTGGGTGTCCGGGGCAAGAGAGAGCGACGGGAGAAGGAGTGGGCGGTGGGGGAAAGCTAGAGCGACGGGAGGAGTGGGCGGCGGGGGAAAGCGAGAGCGACGGGAGAAGGAGTGGGCGGCGGGGGAAAGCGAGAGCGACGGGAGGAGTGGGCGGCGGGGGAAAGCGAGAGTGACAGGAGAAGGAAAGGGCGGCGGGGGAAACCGCGAGCGACGGGAGAAGGAGTGGGCGGCGGGGGAAAGCTAGAGCGACGGGAGACGGAGTGGGCGACGGGGGGGAATCCAGGGCGACGGGCTAAGGGGAGTGGGTGTCGGGGGCAAGAGACAGCAACAGGAGAAGGAGTGGGCGGCGGGGGAAAGCTAGAGCGACGGGAGGAGTGGGCGGCGGGGGAAAGCGAGAGCGACGGGAGACGGAGTGGGCGACGGGGGGAAATCCAGGGCGACGGGCTAAGGGGAGTGGGTGTCCGGGGCAAGAGAGAGCGACGGGAGAAGGAGTGGGCGGTGGGGGAAAGCTAGAGCGACGGGAGGAGTGGGCGGCGGGGGAAAGCGAGAGCGACGGGAGAAGGAGTGGGCGGCGGGGGAAAGTGAGAGCGACGGGAGGAGTGGGCGGCGGGGGAAAGCGAGAGCGATGGGAGAAGGAGTGGGCGGCGGGGGAAAGCGAGAGCGATGGGAGAAGGAGTGGGCGGCGGGGGAAAGCGAGAGCGACGGGAGAAGGAGTGGGCGGCGGGGGAAAGAGAGAGCGACGGGAGGAGTGGGCGGCGGGGGAAAGCTAGAGCGACGGGAGAAGGAGTAGGCGGCGGGGGAAAGCGAGAGCGACGGGAGAAGGAGTGGGCGGCGGGGGAAAGCTAGAGCGACGGGAGAAGGAGTGGGCGGCGGGGGAAAGCGAGAGCGACGGGAGAAGGAGTGGGCGGCGGGGGAAAGAGAGAGCGACGGGAGAAGGAGTGGGCGGCGGGGGAAATCTAGAGCGACGGGAGGAGTGGGCGGCGGGGGAAAGCGAGAGCGACAGGAGAAAAAAAGGGCGGCGGGGGAAACCGCGAGCGACGGGAGAAGGAGTGGGCGGCGGGGGAAAGCTAGAGCGACGGGAGGAGTGGGCGGCGGGGGAAAGCTAGAGCGACGGGAGACGGAGTGGGCGGCGGGGGAAAGCGAGAGCGACGGGAGAAGGAAAGGGCGGCGGGGGAAATCTAGAGCGACGGGAGAAGGAGTGGGCAGCAGGGGAAAGCGAGAGCGACGGGAGAAGGAAAGGGCGGCGGGGAAAAGCTAGAGCGACGGGAGAAGGAGTGGGCGGCGGGGGAAAGCTAGAGCGACAGGAGAAGGAAAGGGCGGCGGGGGAAACCGCGAGCGACGGGAGAAGGAGTGGGCGGCGGGGGAAAGCTAGAGCGACGGGAGGAGTGGGCGGCGGGGAAAAGCTAGAGCGACGGGAGACGGAGTGGGCGGCGGGGGAAAGCGAGAGCGACGGGAGAAGGAAAGGGCGGCGGGGGAAATCTAGAGCGACGGGAGAAGGAGTGGGCAGCAGGGGAAAGCGAGAGCGACGGGAGAAGGAAAGGGCGGCGGGGGAAAGCTAGAGCGACGGGAGAAGGAGTGGGCGGCGGGGGAAAGCTAGAGCGTCGGGAGGAGTGGGCGGCGGGGGAAAGCGAGAGTGATAGGAGAAGGAAAGGGCGGCGGGGGAAACCGCGAGCGACGGGAGAAGGAGTGGGCGGCGGGGGAAAGCTAGAGCGACGGGAGACGGAGTGGGCGGCGGGGGAAAGCGAGGGCGAGGGTACCATGTAGCGAAATATCTCACCTTGTGAGATCGCCAATTCACGGTGACTTTGCCGCCGATTCGCAATAATCTCTTTGGTGATCTAAATATATAATTACGTATTCGTCATTATATAAGCACCGGCGCTTATGGCCGTTACTCAATTACAAGCGCCCCCCCTAAAAAAAATGAATTTATTATAAGCGCATATGCGCCTATATCCGGGGTAATACGGTACCTGCACACAATGTAAAAGAGCCAACCTATATCGGAAATATAAAAAACAGAGTAGCAAGGAGTCACAAAAAAAAAAGGCGATGTACCAACACTACATGACAAGGCAAATGCCACATGCAACTGTCAGAATGTATTTGCTGTCTAGCCTGCAGTGGGGTACTCTGTAATGAGTACAACCCAATTTAGGGTGTTGTACTTGTATCCCAACTCTTGCTAGTGAAAACCTCATTTTCCTTTCCAATTCTCTCGACACTCAATTCTCTCGACACTCACTAGCCATGGCTCCTAAGTCACGCTAGTATTCTAACAGCAACGAAATAAAAAACCAGTAACCAGATCGCGACACCCGCGACTGCAAAACAAAACCGCCGTTTCCGCTGGGATATTCCGCCCTGAATGGGCAAACAGTGGCAAAGTTACGAAGGGAGAGTACGTGGCACAATTCACGGCTGTGTCTTATCCAAACCAGCTCGACACCGACCAAACCCTAAACTGTCTAACCTCGGCCGTTCCAGCTGCTGCTGCTCAGGAACCATGAACTGCCCATGCAGCCCCACACCCGCGCCAGCGTGAGGTCGGGCTTCTTCCCGGTCAGCAGCTGGTACGGAGTCGTCCCCTGTGGTGTCGTCGACCGCTCCAAGCAGTTGCGCACCCAGACAGCTTGTCGTAGAGCGAGGTGCCACCAGTGGTGCTGCACACCCATGTGCAACAGCATCGTCCTCACGGACTCGATGGCCGTGCGCATCTCCCGCTCAGCCATGCCGTTCTGCTGCCGAGTGTAAGGGCACGTCAGGTCGTGGACGATGCCCTTGCCATCGACGAAGTCGGTGAACTCCTTCCCGAGGAAATCCCCTCCCCGGTCTGAGCAGAGCATCAGCACCGGCTTCTTCGTCTGTCGTTCCACCAGCACCAGCCACTTCTGAAACTCCCGCAGAACGTCGCTCTTCTCAGCAACCGGCATCACCCACACAAATCGAGTGTGGCGATCCTTCAGCAGCAGGAAGTACAGACTGCCATCCTTGGCAGCGACTCGAAATGGCCCGCACAAATCAATGTGCACGACAGCCAACGCCTCCGCGGCGTCCGAGCCTGTGGCGGGGAAGGTGTGTCGCGCCAGCTTTCCTCCGACGCACGAGATACATGGCGGGTCTATTCCGATCGACGGGGTGATGTCGAGTCCAGTAGCAACGTCATGTTTTGCCGAACTCTTTATCGTGTCGACGCTGACGTGTGCGAGCCTCGCATGCAACCGGTCAGGGGTCGACTTCGTCGCCGGGATGATCGTCCGCAGAGCCACTACCTCGGTCGACTGCGACCGGGTCGAACAGGGGCGAAGGTCGGTGCAGAGGACTCGTCCGGTGTAGCGTGCTCGACCGAGCACCCCCTCGGTTGCGGCGACGAGCAACAACTCGTCACCGTCGCCCTTCAGCTGCACTCCGCTCTCCTTCAGTTGTATGCCCGGAACATATAGTATGTCGGGGATGAGGACCCGCTTCCCGGCCTCCCCTTGCAAAGCGACGGTTTTGCGGCCCTCAACATGCTATAGTGCCCCGTTGAATCCACGCACGTGCTTCACGCCGTCACTCGGCTCCATGTCGACGAAGACCGCCTTCGTCCCCATCAGGTGATGGGAGCAGCCGCTATCGAGCAGCACCGCCATCGGGTTGGCCTGCATAGCTGCCGCCACCGCCTGGAAGTCCTCGCCAGCCTCCGGCGCAAGCGAGACCGTCGGCTCCACCAAGCCGACCATCGAGCACGACGCCTCCCCGTCGCCTCGGCTCTTGCCGCTGAAGTGGTCGACGTCCTTCGTCGACGACGTCTTCTTCGACGTCTGCTTCTCCCTGCGCGGCATCTCATTTCGACGGGGGCGACTGCTGGTCGACCGGCCACGGCCTCCCTTGGTGTCGTCCTCGTCGCTGTCGTCGCGGTCAGGACATTCGTAGGAAAGATGGCCAGGATCATGGCAGATCCAGCACTCTCGCCGTCGACCATCACCTCCACGGCCCTTGCCCCGCGTCGACCTTTTCTCGTCGACGTCCTTCGTCGACCGCCCACCTCCGCTACCACCGCCGCCATGCATCTTGTGCTGCCCTGGCTGCTGATTCAGCTTCGTTGGTGCAGCGTAGTTTGCTTGAGGAAGGAGCTCCGTGGGCTGTTCGGCCTCCTGCATCGCCTCATCTTGAAGAATATAGCTGGTGATGGAGTCCTCGTCGAGGGACTCACGCGTCCCGGGTACCATCATCATCCTCTTCATAAGGTTGTAGCCGCGTGGCAGGCCCTTAACAATGTGGTAGATGTAGGACGCCGTCGAGTATTCGGCGCCCGCCATCCGCATCTCAGCCAAGATCCGTCGAGCACGGTTGCAGTAGTCCGTCGCCGACTCCTGCTCGCCCATTTGAATATGAGTCATCTTCTCCTCCAGCTGTGCGATGTACAGGTCGTCCCTGACCTAGTACGTCGACAGGATGAAGTGCCATGCCTGGTGACCAGCATCCAGACGCTCTCGAGAGCTCCTGAGTGCCAGCTGCACCACCGGCGAGCAGCACCTCGAGATGACCATGAAGGTGAGCAAGTGAGCCGCACGAAACTCTCCGCGTAGCCCGACATCGTCCACGGGCGGAATGAGCACTGTGCCATCGTCGAAGCCTTTCAGCCCGGCGACCTCCAGTTGAGGTTCTATCGACTCCCTCCAGGTGATGAGGTCCCGTCGACCTTGCAGTGGTGCGACGGTGATCCGGTCCGGCGAGAACTTGAAGTAGCCATACGTCGGTGCAATCCCGCCCGCCGTAACATGCGTCGTCGCCGAGAGCCCTCCACCGCTTCGTAGAGGAGAGCGACGTCGACCATCAATGTCGGTATGCGAGCTGCCTGCGGCTGCCGTCGATTGCTGCACTTGCGCCTGACTCCTGTCGACGCCACCGTCGACCTTGATCACTCCTCTCTGCTTCGTGCCATAGTTGCCGCTGACTCGTGCACCGCCGTCGACCTCGTCGTCGACGCCACCTTCGTTTCGCACCAGTCGAGGAGAAACAAGACGGGATGGGTGTTCCGTCGCCCACTGCGATCGGATGCCCAACTCGACGATCAGCAATGGGATCGTCCCGTACTCGCCATCCGCGTGGCGTTTCCTCGCATCAGCCAAGCGTGCCTCCAAGGTGTCCGCTACGCCCACATTGGCTACGGGGTCGACCATGGTGACTATCACTGCTGCCGGCCTACGAACGACTTAGTAGGTGCAAAATTCGGCTCCTATCTGAAGGTCGCGTGTTCGTTCCACGCTCACCGCACCATGAGGATAATCACTCTACAACGGTAGTGAGCTAGACTATGGGGTTGGCACGAACTAGTAGAGGTGATCGTAGCTTTGCCTAGTTCCTTGGTGCTTGCACAACCACGGGAGAAATTGGCAATAGTTTCCACTAGCAAAGTTGGAGTTACAGAATTGTTGAACAAGCAATGACAAGAATGACTACATCAAGCACCTAGCAACTCTGCAGCTAGCCTGGTCGACAGACAGCAGAGCATGGTCGACCGCCTGCCAGCGTTGCGTAGAGGAGCCGCGCCAGCACTGCAGAAAGGCGACCTGCCAACACAGCAAGTCGACGGTGTGCCAACGCTGCAGCAGAGCGGCTGTCCAGCGTTGCCCCGTAGAAGACAGCAGTGCGCACGCTCACAGGTGCGTGCAGACGATTGGCCCGACTTGCACTGTTGTGTATCCGTCGGCTATTGTCTGTGCGTGATGAGCCACATCGACTTCGGGATACCAACCCGAAGTCGCCTTTGCCTTCGCGACCTCGACGAAGTGCGCATGCCTCCGCAGAATTCGCCAAGCAGGTTACCCGGTCGACCTGGACAACCCCAGGTGCTCTGGTGGATCACCAAGTGCCTCTGGTCGACCACCGGGTCCCTCTTGTCGATCACAGCTCCCGTCAAGCTACCCCCTGGTCGACGGACCCCTTCCATCGACCAGAACTGTCAGCTGTTGTCGCCGAGCTCCCCTCGTCGACCGCTGCTCACTTGTCAGGTCGACAGACTGCTCTGTCGACCTCCCGGTCGAACTGCCCCTCCTGGTCGACGGCCCACCCGTCGCCCAGACCAGTCAGTTGCAGCTGTCGAGCTCCCTGGTCGACAGCAACACCACAGCGGTCCCCTGCAGCTTGACGAAGCCCGTCGAGCAGCTCTCCCACTGTGGATGGTCGGCTGCTACTTCCGTACATCCAACCAAGTCGTCGGCGTTGACCAAGCGAGGGCAGGGCCAACACTTCACTCCCGTTAACATCTTCCTCCCTAGAGGTCCGAATGACCCCAAACCAAGAGGCCGTGCCTCTAGTGATATACAGTAGCTATTGGCATCGAGAAGCCAGTATAAAAAAAACGGCACATGCGTAAAAACACACTAGCGTCAATGCCTATCCGTGAACAAATTCTTTTACACACTGTAATTGAAATGTATAATGACATAATATGTGCAGTCAACACCTTAGCAGACATGGTATTGTATTACTTAACGAATAATTACGCTTTATTGCACTAGCTGGCATGTTGACGAGTACAGGAATAAATAGTTGATTTTACAGAACTAACAAAACAAAAGACATGATTTATGTCATTAATCCGATGTGTTCATAACAGAAACTAAATGACACACATAATAGAATGATGCAAAAAAGACTCAAATGACATTATTACAATCTTGAAATCGCCAACACAGCAGATTCTATCGACACCTAGAGCCAATGGAACACCAGCGCACTGACCCCACAAGGTTCCCGAAGCTGATATTGGCTC